TTAAGCCGGCAGATGAGCATATTTCGGTCGCAGTTTTATTCCCGCGGGTGAGGATATTTCGGTGGCAGTTCTAAGCCAGCGGGTGAGGATATTTCGGCGGCAGTTTTAAGCCAGCGGGTGAGGATATTTCGATAGTTCGGTGGCAGTCTCAAGCCAGCGGGTGACGATATTTCGGTGGCAGTTTTATTTCCGCGGGTGAGGATATTTCGATGGCAGTTTTAAGCCAGCGGGTGAGGACATTTCGGTGGCAGTTTTATTTCCGCGGGTGAGGATATTTCGGTGGCAGTTTTAAGCCAGCGGGTGAGGAAATTTCGGTGGCAGTTTTAAGCCAGCAGATGAGGATATGTCGGTGGCAGTTTTATTTCCGCGGGTGAGGATATTCCGGAGGCAGTTTTAAGCCAGCGGGTGAGGATATTTCGGTGGCAGTTTTAAGCCAGCGGGTGAGGATATTTCGGTGGCAGTTTTATGCCAGCGGGTGAGGATATTTCGGTGGCAGTTTTAAGCAAGTGGGTGAGGAAATTTCGGTGACAGTTTTAAGCCAGCGGGTGAGGATATGTCGGTTGCAATCTTAAGCCAGCGGGTGACCATCACCCTCTCGATAACACCTCGGTAACACCCGATAACACGTCGATAACATGTTTCCGAGATGTGTTCGAGATGTTATCGAGGTGCTATCGAGTGTGATCGAGCTCGATAACGCTCGAGAGCACCTCGATAACGCTCGATGACACCACGATAGCATGAGGTGTTATCGATGTGTTATCGAGCGGTAGCAGTTTTAAGCCAGCAGGTGAGGATATTTCGGTGGCAGTTATATTTCAGCGGGTGAGGATATTTCGGTGGCAGTTTCAAGCCAGCGGGTGAGGACATTTCGCTGGCAGTTTAACCCAGCGGGTGAAGATTTTTCGGTGGCGGCTTTAAGAAAGCGGGTGAGGATATTTCGGTGGCAGTTTTATTTCCGCGGGTGAGGATATTTCGGTGGCAGTTTTAAGCCAGCGGGTTAGGAAATTTCGGTCTCAGTTTTAAGCCAATGGGTGAGGATATTTCGGTGGCAGCTTTAAGCCGGCGGTTGAGGATATTTCGGTGGCAGTTTTAATCCAGCGGGTGAGGATATTTCGGTGGCAGTTTCACTTCCGGGGGTGAGGATACGTCGGTTGCAGTTTTAAGCCAGCGGGTGAGGATATTCCTGTGGCTGCTTTGATCCAGCGGGTGAGGATATTTCGGTGGCAGTTTTAAGCCCGCGGGTGAGGATAGTTCGGTAGTTTTAAGCCAGCGGGTGAGGATATTTCGATGGCAGTTTTAAGCCCGCGGAGGAGGAGGAGAAGGAGGAGGGAGGAACCGAGAATATCTGTGCTCGGCGCGGGCATCCAGCCGCCACGCGATGCGTCATTCGCTTGGTAGGCCCAGCCGACGGCTACGCATCCAGCGCGGTGCTGCGACCGTATATATGCTCGCCCCTTTGCGTGGGGCTGGCGGGGGGCCAAGGGGCGAGCTGTCTGGTGATTGACATACCTTGAGTTTCTTGACTCTTTGCGTTTCCGATCGCCCGAGACGGCCGAAAGGCCTTCTAGATAGCTCCAATACGGCCTGCGAGGCTCCCAACAGGGCCCCAAGTCGTTAAAAGAGGACCCCAAGATCGGGCCCCAACGGGGCCCCAAAGCGGTCCAAACGTGCACGAAGAAGGCCCAGGGAGGCTCTCAAGACGGCCCAAGCAACCCGTTGGTCCCGTGAAAATGAATTTGGAAAATGGGGCCACAAACCGCAGCTGCAACAGTTCGCGGCGTGAAACTATTGCGCGCAACTGCTGCACGCAACTATTGCGAACTATTGCGCCCGCGTGCTCAACTATTGCGTCATGTTGCATGACCAGACGCAACCATTTTGTATCGTGGCAGGCCAACTATTGCAAACTACTGCTCGGAAAAAAACGAGAACACTTGCTATTGCATCGCAAAGATAAACTATTGCGTTCGCGCGAGCAAACCATTGCACACCGACTATTGCACGAGGCACCGTACGATGTATCTGATCGTTTACAACTATTGCGTGAACTATTGCGCGCACGTTTCGCGGCCCCATTTCCAAAGACCCCATTCGCCCGATTAAGACCATGCCTCCCCCCATCGAGCTAGTAGTTAGCACACCCAGGGATGGACCATTCCGGCCTTGACGAGACAGTAGATACCACGAGCGTTCTCAGGAGTAGTTCGCACAAGCGGGGCTGGAACCCATCTGCAACGCCCGAGAAGGCGAGGGTGCAAGACGGAAGTTCGGTGGGGGTAGCTAGCACCGCGTACTGGCTGTGCTGGGCAAACTATTCGCTCCGAACTATAACTCCCGTAACGGTATCTACTCGGGGTGGGCAGGGAATGGAAGCTGTAAGGGGCGGGGAACGCAGGGGCGGGGGTACGTTCCGATCGCCATGATATGCAAGCAAGCACCAGCATGTGGGGGGGGTCCAGGACCCCCCCCCCTTACGTTCGATCGTTACCGCTACCTGGGAGGTGGCTTTGCCCAGATAGCGACAGTTACGCGCGAATTTAGAAAGAAACCATGCCCACGGGGAGAAGCGGGGGACAAGGATTAGGTCGGGCATGTCCTCCTGCAGGCGGATTTCGACGCAACAAAGATTCAGGGTAGTCCAAACATACCCAAAACTAGCCAAACAAAATCGGAAAATCGTCCCCAGACTATGTTTTGACGATCTTTGAGCAGTCCTCCTGCAGAGGGACATGCCCGACTTGAAGCGAGAAAGACGCGGCGGGAGCAGACGCGGAGGAGAGGGGAGACGATGGATGCGGGAGGCCCGAGGCCCTCACGAGGCAGCGGGCGAGCAAACGGGGACACGGACAGGCCAAGACGTCGGCACGCCCGAGAAGGTTGAGCCGCGGGCCCGGACGTTCCTCACGACTCGCTCTCTTCAACCGGGTCGGGCGAGAGGGGGGGATAGCAAAGGGGGGGTTTGAGAATCGGCTCACGTAGCTGACTTTGCCGGCGCCTCCCGGCGCCGGATGCGGCCATGTATCGAGGAATGGGCCCCTCAGTCGGTCGGAAACCAGCTACATGCAGCAAATTGCGTAACTCCCCCTTTCCCTATCCCCCCCTGTCGTTCGGCCCGGAAATGGCATGTCCGGATTCAGAAGGCCATCACGACTGCGGCGTCTCTCGAGCAGGATCGAGCCGTGCCCGAGCTGGGCGAGACGTCGCCAGGCGTGACGAGACTGCGGCGCCTGGGTCGCGGGGACCACCGGTGGCCGGCGAGGGGATGTCGGAGGAGAACCCGAGACCCGGGCGCCGTATTCCTGTTCGGCGGCGAGCCCTGGGGCGGAAGCGAGAAGGGGCGGGCGTTCTCAGAAGGCTCGGAAGTCCCCCGGCCCTCTGAGAAGCGTGCTGTGGGCCTTCCCCGAAGACGCGGGGAGACTCCCCAGAAGGCGCGAGGGTTTCTGAGAAGCCCCGCCGCCGGAACTGAGGAGGCCTCCTCTTCTTCTCGCTTCCCCCCGCCTCGCTCGCCGCCGATGTTGTTGCCTCCAAATGCGTTCGCGCCCGACTTCGGGCTGCGGGGCGGGGCCCACCACACCCCGCGCGCCGTGCACGGCGACGACGACGGGAGGACGGAATGTTTGTTCTTCGAGGCGCTCGGCCTCCACAGGCCCCCGCCGGGCCCCGAGAGATCGTCAGAGGCGATCTCGGGCGGAGGAGCCGCACGCTGCATGCTCGGGGGGCCCTGTCTTGGGTCGGGCATGTCCCCCTGCAGGCGGGGTTTCGACGAACAGATAATCAATAGCACATGCAATATAGAAATCGGGCATGGCAGAACACTCGTCCGCATGCTGTGTTTGGACTATTTTTGAGCATCCCTCCTGTCGAGGCGGCCGTGCCCGCGTCGAATCAGCGTCGAATCCATGTCGGCCTCGCCGGATCCGTGTCGAATCCTCGCCGAATCCGCGCCGAATCCACGCCGAATCCGCGACGAGCCCGCGCCGAGCCCGGGTCGGGCACGAGAAGGGGCACCCATCTGGGAGGCAGACGGGGTCCCCCGAAGAATGCAACGTGAGAGAAGGTTGGCTCAGGAAAGGATCCGGACCTCCAGCAGGGGTCTGCAAAGAATCACAGCGTCCGGGCTCTTCTTCCTCGCTCAGGCCATGGCTGGAAAGTTGCACTCCTGCCTGGCGCAGTGGGTTTTGTAGCGCTGGGCCGTTTTCAGACTGCTGAAGGCTATCCTTGGGCAGGGTGCAACAATTTGGGGCAGCTCGGGGACACCACGGTAGGCCGAGCAGGACGAGGCACGAGACGGAGGAGGGGGACGATGATGATGAGGCCGGAGGCGGGGGACGAAGACGACGGTGACGGGGACGAGAGCGGGGACGAGGACTAGGATGTGCAGGGCGCGGACGAGGAAGGTCAGGAACGAGGGGGATTAGCAGGAGACTCAGAGTCGGTCCTGGACCCCGCCGAGGCCCATCATCCAAGTCGATGTTTCATGCCAGATGGATTTCTGACGGTCCTGGGCCACGAAGCGGGCCTCCAGAGACCGAAACGGAGCAAGTCCCTCGAGTCTCGAACATCGAAAGAGAGAGCGCCAGCGCGAGGACGATTTCGGCCACTGGCACGCCAAGGTGGCCCTAGGCAAGAGTGACCCTTGGTGCGCGGCTTGCCGACCGATCACAATCCACGCGATACGACAATAGCGGCCCGCGTGCTGGGATCTACCCCACCCCACCCTAATGAGTGTCGTTTAACCGATCCCCATCCCCAGCGGCGTGGCCTGGGCCCCGCTGGCCGGCTTACCCCCTAGATGGGGATATAGGTCGTTCTCTTCGGGTTTCGAGGGATGTATCCCCAACTGGGGTGGTAATTTGGTGGGGGTCTCGAAGGGGATGGAGATGGGGATGGGGATCGGATAAACGATACCGACCTAAGGAGAACCGCGCACGAAGGGACCCTCCCGCGAGGTGTCGCCCTTCCTGCACGCAGCCGCAGGCCGCCGCACATCGGGGCTCCTGCTCCAGACGACGCCGATCCCGGTCCAGCTGCGCGAGCCTGGGGAAAACAAAAGGTACCGAATCCGCTGCTCCCCGGACCTCTCCCGGGGTGCGTTCTGACCGAAAGTTCGAGGCGAATCCAGCGGTGGCAACGAGGACCCACCAGGAGGCCCAAAAAGGGGAAAACGAGCGAAGGGTAGAGGTATGCGTACCTTTTCCTCCTCTGAGAGCCTGGCATCCCACTCCGCGGACGCCTCGTCCGCGGCCCGCTCCAGCGACCTCTGGCGCTCCAGGGCGGCCTCGGAGAGAGGCCGCAGGGCGTCGTGAAGCAGATCGCAGCGGAAGGCTTCCGGCGCGTCTGGTCCCTGTGTTCGGTCGGGCATGTCCCCCTACAGGCGGATGTTGCGTGAAATCTCAAAAAGAGTAACAAATAGATTCCAAAATTGCCCCAAAAAGTCAAAACATCGTTCCCTGGCTATGGTCTCCCTATTTTTGAATCTTCCTCATGTAAAGGGACAGGCCCGACTTGCCGGGGCCTTCCGGGGCGCTCTCGTCGCCACGTCCGTGTCCGCCTCGAATCTTGTGGTCAGAACGCCATCGTGAGCGTCTTCTTATGCGGCGTTTCGACAGTGGGCGGAAGGGGGGGGGAAAAGGGGGGGGGTCTGGCTCTGGACCTCTGCCTGATGCCACGGTTTGCGGCAGTGCGACCTGTCGAGGAGGCTCCACCTGCCGGAAACAGGCGCCAGAACTGCCAAGATGCACTCCAGGGAGGGGGGGGGGTTTTGGGGGCCCGCGCCGATCGGCAAAACAATGAATAAAAAACGATCACGAACCAGGACACGCCAAGGGGTGATGATTGACCTCCCGACGCAGATCCCTGCTCTTCGTGAGAAAACATCGCAACGGAAGGGTTTGACCTGTTTCTGCATCCGAGGACTCTTACCGGGCCCCAGGGCCGTCAACTCACCACTCGGAAGCACTGGCGCACTGGCCGATCTCTCGGGGTCCATGTTGTCAAATGAACCCAGGGGGTAAAATTAGGAGATGTTGCATTTACTAGTTAGTAGGCCAACGTGTCCAAGGGTGACTCGCAAACACATGCGAGAAAGATGCGATGTGCTCTTCGCAACGCGTGATTCGCAAGCGCGCTGTGCAACACTACTGTTTGAAACATGGTTACCAATGCTGTATGCCTCCATCGTGGCGGTGACGGGCCAGCTCCTCGTGCTGGGACAGAATACAGCGACACGCACTTCTACCAGAATATCTACTCGGACCAGGATGAGATTGTGTTCTACGACTATATCGTGGATGAGGCTGACGAGCCAGTGCTCAAGGCCGAAGTTTTGGAAGATCCACTCATTGGCGGGGGCGCTAGAGGAGGCAGAGGAGGTCAGCGAGCTCAACGTGGAAGGGGTCGACAGGTTGAGGTCATGGCCGAACATATTACTCAGCTGACGACGACGGTCAACTTTGCGCAGTAGCAAAGTCGACAGGGGGTGCCGTCGTCCACGACAACGGAGTTGCAGGTGCCAGCGTACCAGAGCAATTCCAAAAAGAAAAGGAACAAGGAGCCTCTTATGCTCAAGAAGATTCGTCGACTTGTGAGGAAGATTGACAAAGCGGGGCATGTTGCTTCGGAGAAGCAAGTTTTGACACAACTACGCGTACTGTGCGGTTCTGCTGACAGAGATGGTTCTACTACGGGTACCCCGCCAACTGCGACGCCAACTTCCACATCGAAGAAAGCGACGCCCAAGTTGTTTCAATCGGAATGGGGTACTTCACAAATCTGGACGGCGCCGTCACTACTGGACCGCTCGTACGAGCAACCACCTGTGATTGTGTGCGCTTCGGTATAGGATTACAGGACGGCGCGACAATGGTTGGCAGCGACTTGTGGGGGAATCAGCTACGTTCGTGATCTTTGAGGTCACGGATGCCTTGCTCCAGGAGGGGGCGGTTCAGGCGGAGGCCTTGGTCAGCACGGATGCAGGATCGAAGCCGACAACATGCCTTACACGCGGCATTGGCGATCAGGCCCAGAGGAGGGCAGGGTCACCAGAGGGTGTGCATGACGACAAGCCAGAGTCCGAGCCTGTGAAGACGGCGACGACTGTATTACGCATGACATGTGCGAAAGCTTTCTGCGCGGACGATATCTTTGGGAGGGCCGCGCACAAGCCTGCTTCACTACTTGGATTGACTTTGAACTCAGAATTGACGAAGGATGTGATCAGAACGAAATGGGCCATAAACTACGATACGTAGATCAGGCTGTTGTTGATCGTCAAGGCGTCTGGGGTTGCGACCATACGGCAGTTTGAATTGCCAACGGGGATCTTCTTCAATTACCAAAAGGGTTCTTTCATGCCGCGTTGGTTTAAGCGTCGGGAGAGGAACTGGCGCCGTATTGGGCTCGAGTTTCGAAAGTTTGTGATCACGTCCAGGGTCAGATACTGCACCGCCCGAGTGATGATGCACCCTTGGGGATCTTGAGCGACAAGGCCATCGAGGGTCATGATCTGCTTCCACGTTGGTATTTTCAGCGGGCTCCTGCTCATTGGCTTCAGCCAGAAAATGTTTTCGGCGAGGGCTACACAGCGCGGCTTCCTCAACGTTACGGCTCTGACGAGGACTGGGAGACGTACTTGGTTTTTTCCCAACCATCCTGTGGTGTTGGGTCCTCGTTTTGAAGAGACGGTGCACCACGTTCCCGCCTCCTTCCTCCTCCTCCTTCTCCTCCTCCTCCTCCTCCTCCCTCCCCCTCCTCCCTCCTCCCTCCTGCATTTCGGCACGCCCCAACACGTACCGTGGCCCCATAGGAGCTCCGCCGAAGGCCCCAGTGCTGCCGCCCGCATGCGGCACCCACACCCAATTCGGTACACCCCTCACACGTTTCGTGGCCCCATAGGAGCTCCGCCGAAGGCCCCAGTGCTGCCGCCCGCATGCGTCACCTACACCCAATTCGGCACACCCCTCACACGTTTCGTGGCCCCATAGGGAGCTCCGCCGAAGGCCCCAGTGCTGCCGCCCGCATGCGTCACCCACACCCAATTCGGCACACACCTCACACGCTTCGTGGCCCCATAGGAGCTCCGCCGAAGGCCCCAGTGCTGCCGCCCGCATGCGTCACCCACACCCAATTCGGCACACCCCTCACACGTTTCGTGGCCCCATAGGGAGCTCCGCCGAAGGCCCCAGTGCTGCCGCCCGCATGCGTCACCCACACCCAATTCGGCACACCCCTCACACGTTTCGTGGCCCCATAGGAGCTCCGCCGAAGGCCCCAGTGCTGCCGCCCGCATGCGTCACCCACACCCAATTCGGCACACCCCTCACACGTTTCGTGGCCCCATAGGAGCTCCGCCGAAGGCCCCAGTCTGCGTGTGCATCACGCACGTCACACATTCGGCACACCCCTCACACGTTTCGTGGCCCCAAGGCCCCAGTGCTGCCGCCCGCATGCGTCACGCACACCCAATTCGACACCCCTCACACGCTTCGTGGCCCCATAGGAGCTCCGCCGAAGGCCCCAGTGCTGCCGCCCGCATGCGTCACCCACACCCAATTCGGCACACCCCTCACACGTTTCGTGGCCCCATAGGGAGCTCCGCCGAAGGCCCCAGTGCTGCCGCCCGCATGCGTCACCCACACCCAATTCGGCACACCCCTCACACGTTTCGTGGCCCCATAGGGAGCTCCGCCGAAGGCCCCAGTGCTGCCGCCCGCATGCGTCAGCCACACCCAATTCGGCACACCCCTCACACGTTTCGTGGCCCCATAGGGAGCTCCACCGAAGGCCCCAGTGCTGCCGCCCGCATGCGTCCCGCACACCCAATTCGGCACACCCCTCACACGTTTCGTGGCCCCATAGGGAGCTCCACCGAAGGCCCCAGTGCTGCCGCCCGCATGCGTCACCCACACCCAATTCGGCACACCCCTCACACGTTTCGTGGCCCCATAGGAGCTCCGCCGAAGGCCCCAGTGCTGCCGCCCGCATGCGTCACCCACACCCAATTCGGCACACCCCTCACACGTTTCGTGGCAGTGCTGCCGCCCGCATGCGTCACGCACACCCAATTCGGCACACCCCTCACACGCTTCGTGGCCCCATAGGAGCTCCGCCGAAGGCCCCAGTGCTGCCTCCCGCATGCGTCACGCACACCCAATTCGGCACTCCCCTCACACGTTTCGTGGCCCCATAGGGAGCTACGCCGAAGGCCCCAATGTTGCCGCCCGCATGCGTCCCGCACGTTCATTTCGGCACACCCCTCACACGTTTCGTGGCCCCATAGGGGACTCCACCGAAGGCACCAGTGCTGCCGCCCGCATGCGTCACCCATACCCAATTCGGCACACCCCTCACACGTTTGGTGGCCCCATAGGAGCTCCGCCGAAGGCCCCAGTGCTGCCGCCCGCATGCGTCGCGCACACCCAATTCGGCACACCCCTCACACGCTTCGTGGCCCCATAGGGAGCTCCGCCGAAGGCCCCAATGGGTGTGCCCGCATGCGTCCCGCACACCCATGTCGGCACACCCCTTACGCGTTTCGTGGCCTCATGGGGAGCTCCGCCGAAGGTCCCAGTGGGTGTGCCCGCATGCGTCCCGCACACCCATTTCGGCATAACCTTCACACGTTTCGTGGCCCCATAGGGAGCTCCACCGAAGGTCCCAGTGGGTGTGCCCGCATGCGTCCCGCACACCCATTTCGGCACACCCGTCCCGCGTTTCGTGACCCCTCACACGTTTCGTGGTCACATAAGGAGTTCCACCGAAGGCCCCACTGGGTGTGCCCGCATGCGTCCCGCACACACATTTCGGCACACCCCTCGCACGTTTCGTGGCCCCGTAGAGGGGGCTCCACCGAAGGTCCCAGTGCTGCCGCCCGCATGCGTCCCGCACACCCATGTCGGCATACCCCTCACACGTTTCGTGGCCCCATAGGGAGCTCCGCCGAAGGCCCCAGTGGGTGTGCACGCATGCGTCCCGCACGCCCATTTCGGCACACCCCTCACGCGCTTTGTGACCCCTCACACGTTTCGTGGTCCCATAGGGAGCTCCGCCGAAGGCCCTAGTGGGTGTGCCCGCATGCGTCCCGCACACCCATTTCGGCACACCCCTCGTACGTTTCGTGGCCCCGTAGGGGGCTCCACCGAAGGTCCCAGCGGGTGTGCCCGCACGCGTCCCGCACACTCATTTCGGCACACCCCTCACACGTTTCGTGGGCCCATAGGGAGCTCCACCGAAGGTCCCAGTGGGTGTGCCCGCATGCGTCCCGCACACCCATTTCGGCACACCGCTCACACGTTTCTTGGCCCCGTAGGGAGCGCCACCGAAGAATATATTTACAATTGCGGTACTCACAATTGCATATGGTTG